TCTGTCCTCCCATCTCCCCCCCCCCCCAAAAAAAGAGAAGAAACCAGGTTTGTCAGAATTAAATCAAGTTCTATGGAAATTTAAGCTTTCATTTTAAAATCTTTTAGTTCTTTATACTTTTATAAATAGCTTTGCAAGTTTTAGTTTGAAAAATGCAGTAGTATCTTCTCAGCCTGTAAAGATGATCTCCAATCAAGAATGTCATCAAGAGCCATTAATCTGGAGGGGAAGGGGGCATTAACACTTCATTAACATTATGTAGCAGGGCCATGGCACCTCTAGTGCCCCCACTATACCGGGTCTCCTACTCTGGCTTCATCCTCTGATCTGCTACACTTAAGCTTGCTGTTCAAGTTAGTTTTACTTTTTAGGAGGCTGCTTTCAGAGAACTGGGACTTACTCCACCCTCCTTATCAAATCATCACCAGGCTGCCAGCTTGATCACTCTTCACACCCCAACCTAAGCAGGACTCTTGATGCTTTTCAGGGCACCTACCCCTCTAGGCTCTTATCCATGTCTGCTCCCAACAGGTCAGCTACCTTTCTAGATTCTTGCTCTCATCTGTCCCTGGCAGGCTACCATTCTGGTCTCTTCTCCAGGTACTAGTCGCAAAATATAGGGTATATCACTAGCACTCGCCATGACAGCAGCCTTCCTAGGGCACCCCTTTGTGGCCCTGCTGGCCCCAGTAATGGATTCCAGATTCCCCATTAGCTATATATATGCCTCACTTGTTTTTAAGTTCATTCATCTGTTTAGATCTCTGCTCCTATACTCTAGCAGCACTTTTTTTTTTTCCCCTCACCATCCCCACCCTCCAAGCCCTTGGCCTCTGCAGGGCTCAAAGCACAGACTGCTACCCAGGCACCCTCTGAGGCTTCCAGTTGCCCCTGTAGCCATAACCCAACCCTCCACTGAGAGCATAAGGCCAAAAGATAAATAACTATAACACAAAATACTACTTATCTGAGATAGCCAATAGAGTTGTTTTCCTAGCAAGATCAGTTTATCTTCTCTAGTCCTGGAATAGATTTATATAGTCCCTGGCTCCTCCCTTTTCTGGTCACTTGATTTGGCTAGCTGCAAACAGGGCCCAGGTGATGCTGATTAGGTATCCACCAATTTACCATCCTGCTGCCTGTTGCTTGTAAGCTAGGCCCTGTAGTCATTCAGTTGTACTGCTTGTCTGCTAAACTATTTTGCTAGAAAGCAACAGGGCTTCTGCTGCCTGCTATCTCCCTCTTCACTACTGAAATAATGGGTTAGGGGTCACCTGTTACCAAGATGGATCAAAATCAACGATTCTTTTTAAAAATAAAAAACATGGATTCTTTTGATTTAATTATATTTTTAAGATGTTTTTAAAAAATAAACTTATAAAAAGATAGTTTTAATTTAAGATATGTTAAAGCTCAAAGATATCATGGAATAGGGATTATAACTTTTAATTATATACTACTTGAGACAATATTTTCAGGTAACATTTTATAAGTTTTATAAATAGGTCACCACAGGCCATGGACTATATTAGGGGCCCAATCTTATGGGGTTTCCAGAGGCTTCTTTACAGATTAGTAAAGATTAAAGAAAACCACAATACCCAGTAGGACTTGGTGCTGAGTCTAGATCATCCCAGTAAGCATCTCTGTGATGCTTCATTTTAGTTCTCAAACTGTGGCTTTGTATCTCCAGAGATCATAGGCAGACAGGGGTTCTTTTGGGTAGATGTGATATCTTTTATTAGACCAACTAAATAGTTGGAAATATTGCTACAGAAGAAAGCAAAACCCCTACCATCCATGCCAATCTGACTGTGGGCTAAAATTCCCTCCTTATCCCAAATGTGGAAATCTGTCTGAACCAGAGCAGAGGAGCATGACCCTCTAGCCCAGCTTGTCTCAACTGGGGTGCAGTGAGATCATTCCAAGGCTGCTAAAAGGCTCAGCCCTTTTATCAGGAGGAAAGTGATCGCTTAGCTGCCCCGCACAGCCTAGCAGCCTCTACTTCACTCCCAGCATGTTTGGCTGTGTGTATGAGAACGTAGGCAGATGTGGAGCTGTACTTTTCAGCCTGACTTGCTCTAGCTCTTCCCTTGGCCCTGGGGATGGTGGGAGAGGTTATGAGTGCATATGGCTCCAGTAATCAATGTGCAAGTCACTGGAGGAGCAGCTGCAGTAGCAGGAGCTATGCTTGCCCCCCTTGGGTCAAGAGTTGGGGAGGGGGCAAATATTGGAAAAAGCAGGGGCATGGTAGGGTGAGTTTCTGCCCCTACCACAGTCACCTGGTATCAGATAGATTCTAGCTTGCTGGTTTGCAACTGACCTGCTATTAAATTAAAAAATGTTGGAAGGGTGCCTTGAGGGTAAAAAGATTAAGAACCACTATACTAGCGAATAACCTAGGTTTTTAGAATCTCAAGAAGAGCATCAGAACATCACAATCAAAGACCCCAGTCTTGACTGTTGCCGTGATTGGGAGTGTCCTTGTTTGTTTTATTGAAAAATGGCCTCTTACAAATCTACCCTGCCTTCCTTTTGTGCTTACATCAATCACGTTATTCTGAAAACTCATATCTGAGTTCCTTGAGTTTTGTTTGTATCCTATTATATCTCAGTGTGGCCTTGCACACCAAAAAGCGGTCAAGGATCTCATGTGATGGGTGTCTCCCATTCATTAACTGGCGTCCTTGTGTCTCGTAACAAGTACAAATACATTTTATTGGACCACCTATATAGTTGGCAGAGCTAGCAGATATGCATGGTAGGCTGCACGTTTTTGGTGGGGATTCAGCATAAAATGTTTTTGATTCCAGTCATGCAACTGCTGATGTGAGTATTGAGACCTTGTCCCCACTGCTGGGCTCCCTACCTGCCACAATGTGAAAGATGTGCTGCATGTTCACTTCGTTAAGGGTGATGTTAGGCTCTTGGCCCTCCAGGACCTTAAAAAAAATCTGTGCAGCTGGATCCCAGGTTTAAGGTCCCAGGGCATTGTGAGTCTGAGCTAAGGAGCCTCATTAATTAATACTGCTGAATGATAGATCATTGTACAATGTTAAGATTTGCAATTAGCAAGGAGATGCGTAAAATGTAAAAAACCAAGGATAAATTACTGCAAACTACTCTTTTTTATATATATATATGCCAGCTTAATTCAATGTATACTATGATGGGTACTGAATTTTCTAAAAGTAATACAGATTTAGTCAATAAGTATTAGTTGAAAGGCATCCTTAATTCTGCCTTTTTTTTTTAGGAGTGCTTACTTTACATCCTAGAGGGGGGATTTTGTAAGTAGATTTTTGTGTCACTTCATCGTTTTGTTTTTTAGTTTTGCATGAGAAAGCAAACTGAAAAAAAACCATTCTGTTGCATCCTCATTGACAGCTACATTGTTCATACCTTAGGTCAGAACAGTTGGATGCAGCACACAGACCTGACGTTTGGGTTAAGAGAGTAGTTGATAGATGGTAACACTCTACAATGTGAACCAGTACTAGAAGGTGGTGAGACATTTTACGAGATGTTTTGTAAAATCAGAAGAATGGTGACTCGGGGATATCAGGCTTCATTTCAGCTTCTGAAGGGAGTCTGCTTTAATGGGATCTGAGCCTTTTGGTCCTTCCCCATGTTTGACCCACTACTATTCCATTCCTTCCCAGTCCTGTCTCTACACTGCCCTTCTGTCCTTATCCAAGTCTTCACTCCTCAGTCTCAATTGCAGTCGTAGTCTTACCACTCCAGTTTCCTTCTTCCCATCTCCTGTTGAGCATCTGTAATAATTGGCAGTCTATAATTAGAACCAAGGTCACCTGTATAATTCACAGGTCGTAATTTGAAGCATGGATTATTTCAGAAGGTGAAAATATTGTTTGCAGTCAATGTCAGTATAATTCTGTAGTTCCGACCAAATAGCCTTATACTAGAACTTGGACAGAAAAGTATTCTAATATAACAAAAGGCTTAGTCTGTCTGTCTGTCTGTAACACTTCTGGCCAACTGCACATGTGCCTCCAAGTGGGTGGGCAGCAATTGGCTGGGCGGCCTGGGCTGTGCAGGCCCAAGTTTGCGCTGCTGCTAGGGAAGTTTGGTGGTGGGGAACATGCCTCTGCTGTCCAAGCAGCGGGGCTTCTCCCGCCTCCCTGCCTGAGGGCAAAGGGTAGGGATCATGGTGGCGGCACCCGCTAGAACAGCTGGCAGGGAGGGAGGAGGGGACCAGGGAGGCAGACGGATGTGGGCCAGGTGGACCCGAAGCAGTGCGGGGAAGGAGCAGGGTCGGACCTGAAGTGGCGGGAGGGGGTGGAGGTAGAGCAGGGCCGGACAAGGAGCAGCAGGGGCGGGGGGAGGTGGGGCAGGCTGGACCCAGTGCAGGGGCGTAGATCAGGGCCAGATGAGAAGCAGCTGTGGGAGGAAAGGGGGGACATAGGGCTCTGTCCCCATGGCATTCCCCCCCCCCCCAGTCATTCTTGATGGGCAATTTGCTAGTGACTTTCAGAAGACCTTTTAAACTTTCATTTTTGGTTCGTGGACTAAGACTGAATGGCCTGTCTTCATAAATTCTGTTGGGGCACTCCAACATGGTTTTTGCTTTTAAAAAAAATTAAATATTTTAATGTCTGAATAGAAACATGGAGCATTTCTATACACAGTTGGGTAAATGGGTTTTACCTGAGATTCAGAATAAATTGTTCTGCTTTGCTTTATAATCTCAGGAAGTCAATAATTGGTTCACAAAATGAGGAATTCTTCCCATTATAAATTGATTAAATAAAGCTATAGCAAGAATAATGATAAAAAGGAGGAAATGAATCTTGTCCATCACTTTAAAACCCATTCAGAAGAGTTGAAGTGTTTTTGATATATTGGAGAATAAGTGATCTGCAATGGATTGCTCATTTAGTTTTTTGTATCAGATGAATGGTTGAATTCATGTCATGTTTGAGATTTGTACAGATTTAATATGGAAATAACTTGGTTTTTGTTTTTCTTTTTTTAGCCTTCTGTTGAGTCTTCAAGCCCAGGTAAATATTTTTAATTTAACATTTTATAAGCTTAGGATGAATGCGCACTTTAATAAAATGCTGTCTGATAGCATTTTACTTGTCTGCTGAATGTTATTGTTGGATTTAATTCAGCATTACAAAATAAAACTCCAGGCATTACCTGCTTCCAGTTATTACAGATTTACTGTGTTTAAGATTTCTAAATTTTAAGCAGGCATGTAGATATGTGGATTATATGTAATGTAATGAACTATATCAAATAGAAAGAAATTTGGTTAAACACTATTTAAATCAGTATTTTGTGAACCTTAAAAGCAACTTACACCTTTAGAAGTGGCTTCTTACATGCATCTCCCATATGGTCTTATCTAAACCAGTAGATTGTAAAAATGGCTGCTTTCATTTGGAATTAAATTGTTGTTTGTTACATTTTGGTATGCTTTAATTATGCGTTACATTTTGGTATGATTTAATTATTTAGTGATGTAGTCGTAATTAAATGTTGTTATCAGAATGTGTAGTTCTTACAATATAGTAGAATATATTGTAGTTTTCCTTAAGCACATAAATGAGAGTGAGTTTCCTGTCATTGTAGTTTCCATTTATACAATCAGAGTAGCACCTGAGAATTGTATGTGGCCTTTCATCAGTAGATAAATAGTATTGAAAGCACAGAAATTTCTGCGGGTCAGGATTAAGGTAGATTTAGAGAGTACTGTAATGAAATATGTATAGCCACTGCTTCTGATATGTTGGGTAGTTGGCTAGTGATGATCACACTTGTCCTATGTTTTCATAACCACTAAATTCGCTTACTTAAATAAAGGTGCAGCAGTACCAACAGTATCTTTTTACAGTGATACAAGTTCACTTACAGATTATATCAACAGGAAAATATTTGCTCTTTGTGATTCTTTAAAAAAAAAAAAAGTGACTTCTTTCTAAGAACTGGTTGGTATCTCATATTCCAGTTTGGTTGACACACCCTTCTTCCTGGGTATAGTCAGTGTTGCACTTAGCTTTTATTACTTTATCCAAAACAATTAGCATTGCTACAACTGCCATCTTGGCATTGAAATGCAAGTTTTCCAGTGGCAGTGAATATGCTTTTCTTGGTTCCTTGGTCTTAGGTCTTGTCTAAATAAACAAACTATCACTTTAATTATAGTGTGCAGTTTAAAGGGAAACAACCCCTTAATGTGGATACAGTTATAGTTTATTTCAGTGCAGGAAAGAATGAACTATACTGGTAAAAGGCCCTTGATGTTGCTATTAACAGCATACTTGGGTTGTACTGATTTAATTGTTTCGATAAAACAGTTTTTTAAAAAGTAGTTCACGCTACTAACTGAAATACGTAGACTTTGTTTTGCCTTAGTTCTTTGCTCGGTTTTTAATCCATGTTGAATAATTAAGAAACTCCAAGTTTAAGTATGTGTTTCTATATGAAAAAATATACCTGTCTTCCCATTGCAAAGTAATTCTGAAATGTTACTGTCATAACATGTATAATAATTGTTAACATTTATTTGAAGATAATATTTGAAATTTACTACACTTTGAAATTTTAAATTGATTTGTCAATTTACATTTTTACAGCACGTCTACAAGCCAAGTGTTCTCCCATTTTAAAGATTTGGAAAGTGCAACTTGGGTTATTTGCTTAAGCAAATATTACTAAATTATTAGCAGAATTGGGTTTATAAATATTACTGAGTCAGCATTATAATTAATCTGTAAAACTAGTCAGTCTTTCATTTAAAGTTGATTCAGTTGCTGTTTAGTTACTAGGTCTAGACTTTTCTACAAAGAATACTGTGAAAAGGTTGAAGTGGCAGGAAAGGATTAATCATGAAAAATTAAAGCCTTGAATGCAAGGAGTCTTAACCTTAAAACTTCCTACATAGCTTTAAAACTTCCTGCTGCTCTGTATGTTTGATTATCTATATAACTTTTTCTATATCCTTCATGTTGTAAAGGGTGATGTCTTCCAGGAAGTCACTTTGGTACTAAGTCACTTAAGTGACGTAACTGACCTGAGGAAGGTCATTTGATGCTGAAAGCTTGTCTAAAAACTCTCCCAGCTATACGGTTTGTCCAGTAAAGATACCACTTAAAATCCTTGCCCCTCATACATTTCCTGGACCATAATAGGAACAACACTCCAACCCTACCTCATGTTCATAAGTAGTTTGTACTTTACCCAGTGCAGGTCTCTGTTTCAGGCTGCTGAACACTTTGGCATTTGGAGACATAAATTCTGAAATGATCATAGTGTTGGATAGCTGAGGCTTTTGCCTAGCAGTAGTGGGTATCAAGCAGCTATAATAGCATACAACATTTGAAAAAAATAGCAAAATTTAACTGCTGATTCTTTCTCTAGCCTGGGACACTTGGGTAGCAAATAATCCATTTGACGTTTTTAGGACAATTGATTTGTTTTTTTTACAAACATTTGAGCATTTTTAGCTATAACTTTAGATTCTGGTATTTTGATGGTATTTTTATTACTACTTAACAAAAGCCAAAATTCACAATATGATCAATCAAATTGTTTTGTGCCAGGAGGTTCAGCAACATCTGATGACCATGAATTTGATCCATCAGCTGATATGCTGGTTCATGATTTTGATGATGAACGGACGTTAGAAGAGGAAGAAATGATGGAAGGGGAAACAAACTTCAGTTCTGAAATAGAGGATCTTACAAGGGTAAATAGCGTTTAAAGACCATTTTGTGTAAAACAGCTGTACTTTATCTGATTTTTATCACAATTACCTGGATGTATGGACATTACTAGGAAGGGTGACCTATCAGTCCAGAAACTGCATTTGTAGTTCTCCAGCTATATAGCAATGAGGTTGATGTATGCAGTAGGCTCCATAATACCTGTCACTGCAGTTTCCTCTTTGTTTTCAAGGTGTAGGTTTCACATTTTTCAGTTAACATAATGTTAAAATATGCTCTAGTTAAACTTGAATATTGTTTGCAATGGCACTATTTTCTGATAAACGCTTGCATTTGATTGGTATATGTTGAATTTTTAATATTTGTTACATTTCCTTCATTCCATCATTTTCCATTTAATTCTCTAAGCATTCTCATGGTCCAACTGAGACACGGATTAAATGATTTGCCCAAAGCCTCATAGTGAGTTGTCAGCAGAGCTGGGATTACAAATCCAGTTATTGATGATGATGTCTACATCTTAAATGTGTGTTTTGAAATAATTGCATATTAAGATGTATTTGCATTTTGTACTCCTGCTGACATGTATGTTCTGCCTTCAATGGTCTTTTAGGGGATACGAATGTGACAGAACCTTAGATTGGATTGCAACTAGATATTCAGTCACCAAGAGTACACTTCGTGACTAAAGAATAATTCATTATGAATTCTAAACTAGTGTAGATGCAGTCTATGATCTCATTGGCTGCAAATGTTTCCAGCACAGGTAATCAGTTCTTTTTAAATGCATATGTAAAGTACAAATCCTCTTCAGCTACAGTAAATCTTTATGCCAGTGCAACTTTAAAAAGCTATTTAGCATGTTTAATCCCCGCTAATGGTATCATTTACATATATAAATTCAGTTAGGATGTTAAAGTTAAAATGAAGATAAATCAGTTTATTACAAATTTTGAGAGACACTATCTAAAAAGGGTGGACTGTGGGAAAACAGGACTGTACAGAGAGCATTTATTTCAGTCTTCCTTTACATTTCATGGTAACCATTCCAGATGTGTCATAAAGTAGTATAGGCAGCAGATGTACATCTTTGGGTAATACATGGGTGACTTGAGCCTATGCTAGAACATGTTAGTATTTTTTTAACTGTTGAAAATTCAGTTCTACTCTGAAAAATGTCTGCGTAGAAATACCACTTTCAGACTCAGTAGATGTGCTGCCCATTTGCTGACTTCACTGATAAAATCAACTTTTATTACTTTTTTTTTAAATGAATTGTCAACAGATTTACTAAGAGCTTGTTTACATAAGATATTCAGAAACATTAAGGCAGCTGTCATGAGATGATTCTGTGGTCACTTTGATCCTGAATGAGGGCATCCATACACAGGTTTAACAGGCTTTAATTCATATGCATTGACTTCATGCCCTTAGATTATTCTCCTTAACTTTGTGTAGATGTGACCTAAATTCCAGTAATGGGGCCCGTTGGATGTATTTATGCATTCCTATTGAAAGCAGTAAGTCACTTAGGTGCTAAAAGATATAATATGGGCTTCAAAGCTATTGTTACTGGTGAAAATCTATCATTTAATGTTGAATTTGAAAGACTAGCAGTTAATCCTTGATATTTTAAAATGAACACATTTAATGATAAAATTATTTAGAAAACATAAAACTGAAGACTCTTCCATTTTAGTCACCGTTCATAGGAGAAGCGCTCTTTAAGGAAAATTTTAAAACAGAATTTTTTTAGGATTGCTTTGTTTATCTCTTTCTACCTCTGTATACACTGGGCACATCCACGTATGCATTAATGTGCTGTTGCTACTGTGCATTAAGTTTAGTACCTCTAATATGAGGTACTAACTAAATTTGCAGTAGCTGGTGCTGCTGTGCAGTAGCAAAGGCACATAATCATTTTGTGACACTTAATGCTCAGTAGACTACTTCTACTGCGCATTAGCACAGCTTTTGCCTTGACAAGGTATGCACAGTAGAACGAGTCTATTGTGCATTAAACGTCTTGTGTAGATGCTCCCCATTAGTCTCTTAAGGGTTTTGTTTATTTAAAAAAATAGTACAACATACCTAGTATGCATTTTGGTCAATATTTGCTTCTTGCTTTTATTGAAGGTCTGAGGAGTATCCATATAAAAAGTGATGTGTTGATCAACAGTATGCAAATTTGAGTGTGCAAGTACAGCTGTAAATTCTTAGACTACCAAAAGTTAGAAGTTGTGCCTTATTCCTACTAGTTTATATGTAAAATATCTCTTAATTTGTAGAGATGATCTCTGTGATAAGACATCTTTAAAATCAAACTTTGTTTGCATCTTATTCAGGAAGGTGATATGCCAATTCATGAACTACTTAGCCTTTATGGCTATGATGGTACAGTCCGAATCCAAGAGGAAGAAGAGGAGGAGGAGGAGGAGGAGGAGGAAGGAGATGATGATGAAGATGTTGATAATGATGACAACAGTGGTTGTAGTGGAGAAAACAAGGTGTGTCCCCGTAGTAATTTCACATATCTTCCCAGTCAATTCCAAGCATCTCTCAGGACTGAATTTGCAGGCACCTTCTAGTTTGGTCCCTAGTAACACATGGAATTCTTGCATGGGTGTGCCATGTGGTGGTGGTGTTTGCCCACAGCAGTTGTTGTTTTTTGCCCCATGTTGGGTGTCAGTTTTATGGTGGTATTTTATGTATACATGCAAATGAAATCTTTGCTCCAGTACAGTGTAGAATTTTCTCTAAAAGTTCTTTCAGAAGTTCTTTAAAAGAAAATACAAAAGAAAAGATAAAGGGGTATAGTCAGATCTTTATATAGTAGAGGGTCTCACAGTTCAAGCCCTTGGATTTGATGTCGGTGGACTGAGTTAAGTGTTCTTCCCCATCCTATCTTGTCTTGTTCCATAACCCCAACAGGTGGCTGAGAACCAGCTGTCTTTCTGTTCTTGTCCTTTTATGCATATTAAGCCATTCTTTCTTGCAGTTTTATTTGTTGTTGGTTTTGTCTAGTCCAGCCTGTACTTCCTGTGGAAGACCCTTTTACTTGAGTTTTGCTCACATGTTCAGGGTTGCATTCTGCCACTATTGCGTCTGCCACTGCAACCAGGTGCAATTGCGCACAGGTGCAATTTCCCAATGCAGAGACATACCGGGAAGGGCTGCAGGAGGAGCATGTGCATTAGCTGCAGCAGGACAATGCATTAGCCTTATCGCTAAACCTAAAGCAGGAGGAGTGCCTGTTCAGTCCGTCCCAGGCTGACCCTGCATGCTCTTCCTGGAAATGTGGGGCTGTCTTGTGTGCCTGTTTCCAGGAGAAGCATACAGAGCTGGACTGGGAACAGCAGCAGCAGGGCTGGGCAGTCCTGCTTGCTCTAGTAGGATGCAATTCTAATGCAGTCAGGAGCATATGCTGGTTTCAGTGGTGGCAGCAGCATCCCAGTTGAGAACGAGTGAGGTAGCCTAGGTAGCTTAGCACTGGTTTTCAAATGGGGAGCTACCACATTCAAAAAGTTTTGGAAGGGGTGCCCTGAATCTGAAAAGGCTGAGAACAGCTCCATCTCATAAACTAGTGGTGCTCAACCTTCCTGCCCTGTGGGCCAGGTAAGCAATACTTGGTCTATCTGTGGGCTCAATCTAGCTGATCGGCCAGATCTGGTGCACAGGACAGGCATGGCAGGGCCTCATCCAGCAGCGTGGAGTGGGGAGCGGGGTGTGGTCTGGCCCCAAATCCAGCTGGGGTTTGGGAATTTGGTAGGGAAGGGGTGGCAGTATTAATTGCCATTGATT